TGGGGGGGGGGGAGGGGGAGCAATGATTGCAGCTATGATTTCATCCCAAATAACCAACACTGGAGTAACTAGCGGTGCGATTTTTTGCAAAGGTAGAAATAATAAAATTTACTTTTGTAAGGCGCATTTCATCCAAGGATCCCAATGCGTCACGTGTATGCAACGCAGGGAACAAGACTGATCCAGCAGCGTAGACAACCGAAATTATGGGGGGGGGGGGAGGCCATTTTTAAAGGCGAGTTCTCAGGGCAAATTTAAATATCTCTGGACTCTTGATCGTCTTAGTATTAGATTATAATCAGAGGCAACGCGTTCCATAGCCTTGGAGCAGCACTGCCAAAAAAGCCCCGATAACCCCAGGAACGGAGCCTTGACCTCGGAATACTTAGGAGTTCAGAAGGTTCAGTAATAGGTTTTTACCATTTTATCTGGCACCAAAACCGACACCTTTATACAAGGGATCATGTTTGCAATAACCACAACACAAGCAGTCAAAATGCAAACAAAAAGAGACAACTCTGATCATGATATGCACTGTCCTTGAAATTGATTGGTCCACGCCCGAGACGGCTTTTCCTAGAGCCTAGTCTCCACTGGTGTTGGACCAGATGACGCCAAAAGGCGTACAACTCAAAAACAGGTCTCAAGGACATAATTGGTGTATATCAACCTCATTGGTGTATGTTTGGATAACAATGCCGATACACAATTGCCTACTATTGCGAATGACGTTACGTGATCTTTATTTGTTGAATCAATAAACCCACACTATTAATTAGGGCGGCCGCTGGATTCGAACCGCGAGAACGTGGTGATCGCCATAACGCTTGGCCCTGTGGCCACACTGAGCGCTTGCCTCTCACTGTGAAGGGAGCCAAGTTCAATTCCCGCTCGGTTGGGTCCAACTCGCCCATCGGATTTCTCCGGGCTCGTTGACTGCCACTCAGTCGCGTCAACTCGGAGGTGGCTCTCGTATGGACATTCTGGTCCCCACCATGTGGAATTGTCTCGACTGGCTCGAAGGAGAGTGACACTCTAGGTGCGCCTATGAACCCAGCCACCCGAGTACAGATTCCTGGCCCACGGCTAAAATAAACGGTGACAATAAAAACCTGCATCGCCTTCACCTCTTCATCAACCCGCACAGACCACCGCGGTCAAAGTATGGTTAAACGTCGTCTCAATGCATGGTTATTCACTCTAAATAACGAATGTTTATAACTGTGCAGGGGGGGATGGGGAAACCGACGGATCCGGAGAAAAATCCACGTGACCACAGGGAGAAGATGCAGATTCCAAATATACAGGCAGCGTCAGTGTCGGGATCGAACCCACCACACCTCCTGTATACCCCAGGCGAGGTAGTTAACATCTTGCTATATTTCTCTTAAATAGCATGTCGCGGTGGCGAGGTGTTCTAAATGGTCACTTCAGTGCCCTGTCACGCCGTCTTCGAGTTTCCTAAACGATATCAACATCAAAAGCAATACTCATGGGGCAAAGAATCCAGCAGTGGAATTACCAGGAGGGTTTAACGGGCTCATTCGAGCTCTCGTTCTCTTCTCACGGACCTCATCCCTGCAGGGCCTCACGCAACAAAATCTCTTCTCCAGCACGTGCCACGTTCTCACTCCTCGCTCGGAACGCGACTCAGAGGACCGTCCATGACTTCCATCTCGTCTGCAGGTTGCTAAGTGGGTTGTCGGATAATTGTAAATGTAAGAGATGGGGGGAGGGGGGGGGGACTGTTTTGGGAGTCTTTATCCAGCGGTGGATTGATCGTGGCTGATGACCCAACACTTTGCATCAATACGTAAATTGGTCATTAGGATGTTTGCAGAAATTAGCAAAGCTGCTGCAGAGGTATTTGGACGATCTGGTAGGTTGAAGGTTACCATTATAGACCATAGTTGGGGGGGGGGGGGGGCTCTGAAACGTGCTCCTTACAGACCTGCAAATTAAGCCAATGACCAATATCACCCGGAATGTCTGGTCTCGTCAGACCTCTGAATTAGAAGCCAAGCAGGCTTGAACCTGGAGCGTGTTTACTAGGGTGACCCCCCCCCATCCGCCCCACCACGGTGCATTGTCATGAACAATGCAGAGCAGATAAATAAATCCTTGTAGTGATGCACTGCACACTCGTCCATGCTTCAGACTTCCAAGACCTCCAAGCAGCGTGAGGCGTGGTAAAATAACCCCCTCCCCACCCCCAACGACCCACAGGGCCTGGATCGGTTCTCATCCAGCAGTGGAGTAGCACACGACGGCTTACGGTCTACTCTTAGGTCAGCATGGCACACAGAAGGCACATTGTCAATGGATCTTGCATACTGGTTTATTTAGTGTACGCAACAAGACGAAACTTTACAAAAGAAAAAGAGAATATATGTAACACAACACAATTAACAAGATATCGATAGAACGAGAGATACTGTACATCAGAGCGCCGTGTGAAAACCCGACTTCACATTGAACAGAACCGAGGCTCTCCGGGACATTAACGCGCACACGTTAACAACAATGAAACTCAACACAAGCAGTCAAGATAATAATTATACTCAACTGTGTCGGCGTTGTAAGCCCGCTCATGTAGTACTCTATGTATTATGCAGGTCTAAGGGGGTTATTTTAATTGAAAATAACGTCGGGCTATTGACTTTGCAACGCAAAAGTTAGATGCGTTGCACCAGCCAAGGGCCGAGGTTAAAATGGACCACATTGTTTTCTGCACCGTAACACCTTGGGGTTGCCAATAAGACTTCAGTGCCCATTGCGTTGAGAAAATAAAACGCACGTTGATACAGGGCGATCCATTTGTCGATAACGCCACTCAAAGTAATCGAGATAAACTAGAAATCAACATTTTAATTCAAAGCCTCTTAATGTCTCCCCCACATCCCCGCAACTACCACCAAACCTCCATCCCCCCCCCCCTTCAGTTTCCCCCGCAGGATATGAAGCCCATCCGCTTGTACACTATTCAATCATCTGTTTAAGACGGTTATTAGAAATAAGTGGCGTATCTTTAAAATAGATCGCCCTGGAGAAAGTGGTCTTACCCCCTTCCTCGGTGAAAGGGCTGCCTTGTACATGTTACACATGAATCCACAACCGCAAGAGGATAAGCCCCACAGGCACGTCCCAGTTTTGTTGAACCAGACCCCCAAAACAGTTGTTTGCATATGCAGTAGTAATTCGCTATACACCAACCACACCTGGACCAATTCTCATGGCCTGGAAAAGAGTACACATATTTCAGAGGCCAAACTAAAAATCTAAATTTGGTGAAATTCAAAACGACTCCACACCAACCCCACGTAGCAGCAGCGTCGTTGTCCATGGAGCGGGTAGTAGTCGAAAACGCGCTGTGTGTAAATTGTACATTTGGTGATACCCCCCAAATCTCACGTGTCTTTAAGAAATGTTGGCAGGAAAACAAGTTGTGGCAAAGTGACGGAGTTTCCCGCCAACACGGGACATTGAATTATTAAATTTAAGCTTCTTTTAAAATATTTTCAGTTGGGTCTTTGCAATGAGGCGAGCGAGTCAAGAAATTTATAATTGTTTTGGGTGGGAAATTACATAAATATATGTGCTTGTATATCAATATACCTTACTGGAAAGCTTTGCTCAAAATATACGGTTTCATTTTAAGGCATCGGTAACACGGCTATCCTTTATTTAAAGAGACTCTTGGAAAAGTATTTATTTTAAATGTTTTGTTGAGACCAATTAAAAAGGGACAAACCCGTTACACTTTATGGACATTCAAGAGGCCGGAAATTTTTTAAAAAAAATCACTCCATCGCTGGCCCCGGCTAAAGATGTTAAATTCAACGAGTGACAATTTGTTCACTTGTTTCAACCTCTAAGAGTCATGAATTGGCTTCAATTGGTAGGTTCAACTCCGTACAGGTCCGGGGGGGGGGGGGGGGGGGGGGGGGGCTTAACAGTTTATAACACTATAGACATCTGTACCCTGAAGCATGTTTGACGCTTTTCTCTAACGCGGCACCAAATCCAGCCGTCACTGAATTAACTGCTGCATTGCAAGTGGTCTTGGGCACGCAGGACACTAAACACACAAAAAGCATTGGTCGAGAATTACTTATTATAATACCCCCCCCCCCCAAACCGAACCCATCACTCCCACCAAGGTTATCATTTTAGTGGAATCATCGCTGCCCTTGACGGACAACTCACAGTGACGCAGTGTATGGAAAAGCAGGGTCCTACCCCCATCCAGCCATGGGTGTGGTGGCGGGCAAGCACATTAACGTGGGGTCCAAATGTGGCCGAGTGAGAGGGGGGGGAAGAGGATGGTCGACGCATGGGATATTATCACGCGAGGTACTCGGGTATGGGGGGGGGGGGAGTCCAACTTATAACACGAGGAAGGATGAAGGTGGTAAACCAGATTTGATATTTGCATAGAGTTAAAGCCGCCACCGCCGCCGCACCCCCTCCCCCCCCCCGTAGACACTGACAGACTACTGTGGGACACTGCAAACACGTAACAAAGTGATCATCACTCCGACCTCAAGTGAAATAGGGGTGGTGGTGGCAGGCAGCGGGTTTCGCCCCCCCCCCTCCCAACCCAAAAAAAATGTTCCCTCCCCGAAGCCCCATCTCCCCCCCCCAGACACAAACGATTTGCAAAGGTAACACTGTCGGCAAATAACGTGTCCAACTATTCCGACAACTCGTGACCTCCCCCCACCCCAGGAGGGACAGCTAAATGGGTACACATCAACACTATTAGCGGAGGCCGACACCGACATACCCGGTTCGTCACACCTGGCTCAAAACGTATAAACTCGGCGATTATCAATAACGAGCGGATGTCACAGATTGTTTCCCCCCCCCCCACCTCAGTAAACCAGTGATATGATAGCGTGTCGTTAAAGTAGCTATTGTTTTCGACAACGCCTCAACGCTGTATAAAGACAGGCGTGAAAAAAATACATTTTGTTGTATCAATAACGGCTGTTAAATTATTTTTTTTGTATTTTTTGGTTTTGTAGTTTTTTTTGTTAGTTTATTTCAGTAACTATAACACGCAACCATGTGGTGTCACTTAAACCGACTAACAGGTACGGGGGTTCAACAACAATAATGCATACACTGGGCAGGAAGCGAAATTAAAAGGCATGTACAAAAGGCCCTTTTTTATAATAACCAGCTGAACTCAAGGATGACTGAATTTGGGTTGTCTTCCCACTCCTGCCCCCCTCCACCCCCACCCCACTTTTGAAAGTATGAAAAGATGATCCTGGTTTCACTCGATGCAAAACGCGGCAAGTAATGCTACCTCTCGCGGTTAAAACATCAAACGTTCAAGACGAACTGCAATTTAATCCCAACGTTAACTTTGCGTAACTACACGAGGGACCCCCCCCACCCCATTGCGTTCAGATTGTTTTGCACGGGAGATACAAGACCTGGCTTACGATAAAGTCGACCTCGTGTTGGAGCTTTACTTTAAACGTCTTGAGAAATTCTTACGTTACGCAAACCACCTCCATTTTTTCCCTACAATTTATATATTTAACGGGACCATTACGTGAGTCCCCTACCCCACCACCACCACCACCACCCTCATCGAACGCACCAAGAGTGGGAACCACGCTTATAATTCAGTGGAAGCACGTACACTTCTATACCAATTTGTTCATTGCTCAAACACCAAACTCGGGTCAAATACATTTTGGGAAGCAGCCCCGCTAGAAATCACAAATTGTTTTTAATGAGCAGCATTCTCTCTCCTTGTTCTTCAAGCACGCCTACAAAAATGGTCACACGCGTGTGTCCTGGCCTTTACAAAAGCATTTCAGATGTATTTGTTGTTGCAAATAAACCAACCGATTACCGATGTCAACAGAAATAATAATCCTTTAAAGCATTATTTCATCGGCAGGTACCTCCCAAACACACCACCCCCCGGCAGAAATAATAATCCTTTAAAGCATTATTTCATCGGCAGGTACCTCCCAAACACACCACCCCCCCCCCCCCCCTTCTCTGCCAAAGCCACGCCAGTACCGAAAAACAAGAACCCCTTCATTTGAAAGCGAGCAGTTTGTGGATTCTCTCGGTGAAAAATGTTTCATGAAAACTCGGAAAGTTAAACAAAGGACGCACACATTTTATCCCCACGAGCGGCTAGGCGGACCAGGTGACGCGCGAACCACCGCTCGGTTTAAAATGCATCGGGGGCGAGTTGGGACCTCCGGGCGAGTATCCGCGCGCAAACCGTCGAGCGCACCCCGCCGAGCGCAACCCTCAGCCCAAAAATTCACCAAGCGCGCACTCCAACCCATTCAGCAACCCAAGCCTTTCTTCACAGTCAACCCCCCCTCCTCCTCCCCATGCCATTGCGTCACCAACACCATTCGTTTAATACATGTATAGAAATACACACAGGTACACATTGACGTGGCGCAGTTCCCCTTCCTCCCCATTCAGCCACCAAGTCTTTGTTCAGTCTTAAAAAAACCCATGCCATTGCTTCACCACCACCATTCGTGAATATATAAATGCACACAGGTACATTGACGTGGCACAAAGGCACACTCGATAAAGAGTTAACCCCAGCTTATAAGGGGCAGGAGAGAGCACGAGGGGGGAGGTGTGGGGCACCATTAACCCAAGCACACCCTCCACATCCACCACCAACCTCACCCCCCCCCCCAGCTATTATTAGGCTTCATTTAAATATATATTTTATTGTATTTCATTTTATTAAAGGAAGATCAAGATTGTAAGAGCTGTTTATGCCTCGTTACGACCCTGCCGCACCCCGTCTCTCAAAAAAAAGTGACCTCAAAAAAGTAAATCAAAGCATTTGTATCAATTTTGTTTTTAATTTGGCCAAAGTACAACGCCCTACATTCGCTTAGTGCGTATCGCCAAGTTATCCATCTCTCGCTTCACAACAAAAAAAGTAAACAAAACCACTTTGTTGGCGCTGTGCCTGAATAAAGTTCGTGCGATAGTTCAACTCTGACACGGGCGCAGAGTTGCACCACGCGCAGTAAAAAAAAAACTCCCGGAAAAACATTGCAGCAGAGCGCTGTACGGCACAACCACGCAAACCCCATGCAGTGGTGTACACATTACCCGACAAGTTCTCGCCTTTTTAAGATCACTGTGCCACAACAGTGTGTTTTAGGAACTTGTGTTTGGAGCCGCGAAACTCCTACCAACACCTCGAACTGTTGTTCAATGGATGCCGACGACCATCCATACAAGCAGCACGAGTTGCTCCCCACCTGCAACCACCCAACTCGCTTGGCCAATGGCAACAATTCTATTGGGGGGGGGGGGGGGAAAGGGGGGGGTTGACGTAGTCTGACGGTTGAGTTCTCGGGCCTGCTGTCACAGTATTTTCCAAAAACAATTCTGCCTACCCGCTCATACCCTCTACGGGGGGGGGGGGGGGGGGGGCTCTCTCTCTCGAGCTCCCACGAGTTGGAGGCACTTCCTGCCAGCAGTTGGGGGGAGGGTGTTGAGCAAAGGAATTGCAGAGCTGCACCGTGTAACCCGTTGCTTAGCTCATAACTGCGCCAATCGCACCACAGGTGTGGACGGATGAATGTAAGACGTCAACGTTACGCCACCGTGGGGGGGGCCATCTTCAGAAAGAATCGACAGTTGCGAGCCAACACTTCCCTCTTCACAGCACCCACACACGTTGAGAATGGGAAGCCAAAACGATTGGAAACTCGCACAAACTTGTCAATAGCCTGCTAGATGAGGGTCCAATCTCTCCCGCAACGTCGTGCGGGTTTTACCTGACCATACTTCACATTGGTCAGCGAACACCGACATGGGGAGCACAGGCGTAGTGCACAACAATTTGCTGCACGGACCACCTCTTGCTACCAACCACCTAGGCCCCACAGCAGCCCGACACCAGTTACGCATGGACGTCGCCCACCAATCGATCGGGCACTTTGGGCGATGTGGTCGTGGGCAAGCAAGCCACACAGCAATTAGTGACTGGAAAATTGAGCCTTCATGCCAATTAAAATGTATTAAGACTGACCAGTCTGGTGCGAGGGTTCACATCTCATTCTGTAAATGTTTTGGCTGCCCCCAATCAGTCGATTCGCATGCTGCCTCACACGGAGAGGAGAGAGAAGATCCTGTCGAGACCACTCTTGCCTGCAACACAAAAAATACCTTCCAACCACATTTGGCTCAAGCAATTTTAACTTGGGAAAGGTAACTTAACATTGTCATGTACACAGCAACAAAATATTATACAAAATGAGAATTGCAATTTCATTTTACAAAACGAAGTCTTCACGGTATCTGTAAACTGTTAAAACAAATTAAGAAAAGCAAAAGTTTACATCAACTATTGAAAATGCAAGATATGGAAACTCACAAAATAATGATATCCGAATCTTCGGTACAAAAGCACAAAACCCAGAAGAAAACAAATCATCCTTGCAAGCGAATACACGTTCACCGATACACGTGCACAAATGTGCAAGGTGGTTTTGTCCATGCCCTCTTAAGGGCTCAAAAACAAAACTGGCAGCAGATTTGACACTCCGCATTTCCCTCGACTCATTACACATCTAATGCACACCTCTATTCGGCCTCTGCATATAAATAAAAAATCACTTTAGTCCATCAGCCCAGCTTTCCAGACTGATAACAATGGGCAGTATTTGTTTTAATCAAGAAAACTCTGAACCAGTTTCGATCTTCTGGGCCTCATCAGCAGTCAGGTTTTCTTAAAACAAATAGTACCAACAAATTCAATACGTAGACCTTAAAACTTTTTATTCACATGCAGAGACCCAGAACAGAGCTCTGCTTATACGCTTTTTACCCAGAATTCTACATGGCAACGTCTGGTCTATGAAGAGTACAAGCAGACGAAACCCGTAGAAACTTTATATGGCCGAGAGAGCACTTGCCCAATGAGTACTGCACTTCATCCTCCCAAATGGTAACCCGCTTGACAAACCTCAACCGCTGACCCCCCCCCAACCTCGGGAAAAATTGTGGGCAACAAGGCAGCATTGTGACAAACTATCCATAGGCTTCAACCATTGCAACACAAAGGACACCGGGGCAACACCCCCCCCAAAACAAACCAGCCGTTTTCCCACCCATGCGTCGTACACCAACCCTCCTCCCCTCCCCTTCTCAAGACAGCAGTCAGCAAGTTTCGTGCAACTGTGCACTCTGCAAGACAGTTGAAACAAAGCCATCTTTCCTTCCTTTGGTGTTAAAGAGACCAATTTCCAAGCAGGCTATTATCGAAATGGCTTTAATTGGACCATCGCTCGCCACCACACTTCTTGACATGCACAGCTGTGTCCAACAAAACGGGCTTTTTTTTCACACCGAGGGATCAGAATCTGGGGAATCAGTGTATTGAGAATAAGAAAATTTCTGAATGAGTGGTGGTGGGGGCCAGGCATAATTTTTCGACATGCCGATTTTTTTAAACTTTGATAATTTAGTCAGTTGGCCGTCGTTTTGTTAAGTCTGGGCAGTTACAAAAAAAAACTAAATTCGCATACATCTTGTTGACCTTGCTGCCCACAGTCCTCTCCCCCCCAGGTCACCACTCGAGACGCCACCAGCCCCACACTGAATTTAAGTCTGGTTTCAAACATCCCCAATGTTTGCGCTTACAAAAATAGATTTTACACGGCAATAAGCAAAGAGTTTCCTTGTTCTCTTTGGCAAAGTTGATCACCCTTTGTAGCAGAACGTGCTTAGTGGTACACTATCAAAAATGTACTGATTATTATAAATAAAACAAACTTGGGAAATGTTTAAACTTTTTTTTTAGCTTTTTGGTTTTGTTTTGTTTAAATTGCACTGCTGTTGTAATCACAAACACTACATCTGGCAAAACTGCAAAGGCTGGAGGGAATACTTATAATAAATAATAGAAAAAGGCATTATAACATAAAGTCATTAAATGGAAGAAAAACAATGCTTTTATGATATGTTGCCAAGGATTAGAAATCTGGCAAAATCCCCAACATCTGTTGAAGTCGATCAAGAGAACAGTATCCACCGCACAGCGACGATTCACATTTCCGCAAATGTAAACATCTAAACAAATGACAGCAAAAATATAAATAACCATAAATAAAACCTTGCACAATGCCCCCTCAATATTGTTGGCGAGATATGGCAAGTTTTCAACCACTAACTGCGGGAAAATCATGCATCCCGCACCAACAAAAAACACAAACTCGTCCATCAAAAAAGTACGACGTTTCGGCAAACCTAAAAAAACGTAACGAACAAACTTCAGCGAAACCCAATCGGTGGAAAGTCGTCTTATCAATCAAACCCGAGGTCATTTGGGTGATCAAAATTTTAACGCAAATCGCATCGTTTGCACAACGCAACAGAATAATAACGTAACTAGATCAAGCTGGGGTAAAGAAGCTCCAACGGCTACTGCCTCCCCTCCCAACGGTGCAGATCCACCCCCCCCCCTTTGTTCTTGATCCGTCATAAAAAACGTTAAACCTTTTTTGTTTCATTTTAGTTTTGTTTTAAGAATTCGTAGCAAATTTTTTCAGCAAAAAATTACCTCTTTTCTTTTAAAACACAGCCAACAAAGCTTTCCAAAATCATTACCCACGTAACCTTCCCGCAGCAGCAGCATCACAAACTACGCAGATGGCCAAGTAATATTTATCCAGGCACACTTCAAGTTCTGCAACATCCCAAGACAAAAGGGGGGGAGAAAAAGAAATCAAAATAATTGCCAAATGCAACCAAAGTGATGCATTAAGATCATACCTAAAATAAAAAGCTATAAAAGACTTTCATTTTAACGGTAAGCTCTATCCCTTAACAGCTTTTTAAAGGGCTCAATTCCAGCCACCCCCTCACCCATCCCCCCCCCCCCCCCCCCGCAAGTCAGTTCAACCGGACCGACTGCCAAACCACGCACAATTCTTTTCACCACCACCACCACCTTCCTCTCAACGTTTAGGCTAATTTATTACAAACATTTTTCTTTGTAAATTTCACTAATTTCCCTAATTTTGAATAAATGCATAAATGTTTCAGTCTCAACAGCAGCAACGACGGCTCGCTGTTTTAACTGGGAAGGGAAAGGTTAAGGTCGATTTAAATGCCTGTTAACCATGACCCATCTGAACTCAATCGTGACCACCCCACACATAGGCTGTTTACAATTCAGCATTGCATGCGAGTGCGTACAGGAGTACAAGTGCGTTAACAAAAAGTAACAAAAACTCTCAACAAAGAAACAATGGGCTGGCAGTGTCCACTCAAGTCTTTATAAACCCATACAAATTTACCTCAAAAGTTTACTCGCAATTTCATCAACTACTGTGAGCCCGCTCTTAATTCTACTGCGCACAACTTTACCTTCCCCCTGATTATTGTATTGCAGATTGAACTTGACAGCCAAACATGCAAGTGCCAACATTGTCCGAGACGCTGTTATTTACTCGGCAAGTGCCCAAATCGACACACACCCCCCACACACTGCAGTTTAAACGAGTGTGCCACTCCCCGCACCCACCCCGGGTAGCACGCGCCACTATTGCTTTTCTCACCACCGAGGATGGAGGGAGAGGACTTCTGGCACCTTCGCTTGAATTTCCCAAACACTCGTGTTTTTCACAGCATCAATCGCCTAATTGGTTCACTTAATTTTTATCACCCCTCCCCACACGTCGAGAAAGCCGCCCAACCTAACGCAAGAAAATCGCGTGCGCGTCGCACGAGCGCGTAAGAGCCGTCCCCAATCCAAAAGCCACCCGGCGGGCAAGGCGCATTACTTCGCGTCCCTGCCGCTCGTCTCAAGCCGCGGGATTTTTCATTCAAATCCCACGGGGGCTACCGAAAAACTTCCGTGGACAATCTCACGCGCCCACGTGCGGGTGCACCCAAAGTACGCACGAACGCACCCCCCGCCAAACGCACTCACATGCTCGCCCCGACACACGCACAGACACACACATACACAGCTCAGGCCTGGGGGGGGGGGGGGGGGGGATGAGGGCAACGGGAACTGGAAGTTAAGGACAAGACACCCAGGCAAAGGAGAGAGTGTAACGGATGCGCGCGCACGCCTAGGCCTTGTGGTGGTGCGCCTTGCTCGTCTTGAACGAGACTTGGAGCACACGGTCGCCCAGGCGGTAGCCATTGAGGCTGGCGATGGCCATGGCCGCCTCTTCGTAGTTGGTCATGGTGACGAAGCCAAAGCCGCGGCACTTGTTGGTGGCGAAGTCGCGGATGAGGCGCACGCTCGTCACAGCGCCAAACGGACCGAACAGCTGCCACAGCACGCTCTCGTCCGACTCGGGTGACAGGTTGTACACGAAGATGCACCAGCCGGCCGAAGCGGCGGCCGCAGCGGCAGCAGCAGCAGCGGCTGCGACGGCGGCGGCGCCGGATACCCCGCCGGGGCTGGCCGCCGAGCCCGCACCGCCGGCACCGTGCTGATGCTGGTGGTGGTGGTGGCCCGGCAGGGCGGCCGCCACGCCCGCTGCAAGGGAGCTGGCCATGCCGTCTATTGTGACCGGGGAGAACCTGCTGATGCCCGGGGGAGATTGACAAGCAAGGTGGAGGGGGCGAGAGATTTGTGGTGATGTTTGCACACATTACACGAGGGCGGGGGGGGGGGGTTGGGGTCAGTCTGAAGGTGCCAAGCTGAAGCATGCAAAAGATTAAAAAATATATTTTCTCACAATTTTATATGTCAACCATGCTATGTTCCACATCCGATCACATAGACATATTAAGAGTGAAATAAGACCGCATATGGCAACATTTGGGTTGAAATAGGTTAGCCTAGTGTTCTTCATTGCAAGGCCCACAGGAAACTGGCAGCCCCTGGTGGCCGTTAGGACGACCCCTGCAGTGCGGCCCCTCGACAATACACAAATGTGAAAACACCCCACCATCATGCTGTCAAACTTCAATGGTTTCAAAAGTGTAGCAGGCCCTCACACTGCATTAACGGCAAAATAGGCCCGCTCTTAAAATTAGTGTCGAGCACTGGGTTAGCCGCATATAAGCAAAATCTACAAACCAAACCCGTATACAGCAAGGGAAACCTGTTTTACACTTGAAAAGCTAACTTGAGTTGCTAAACACAGATCCAAAGGCACAAAAAAATGCCAAGCAGCCAGCAGCAAATGTAAGGTGTAAATAGATAAGAGCTAACGCGCTAATTTACTTGCGATCAGACACGAGTTAATGGAAGGTAGACAATTGAAGCCAAGCTCACCTCTTCACTCCATATGCCATGTTTAGCAGGTTGTCCAGCCTGCACAAGGAAGATGCACATCTATTATTATACACTTCAATCACAGCTTTAAACAAATTACAATCAGGCAGTCTGCTTTAAGGTAACATTATGACCACTTCAAAAGTGTGCTGGAAAAAATATAATTGGCTTGTCAAAGGGAAAACAATGTTTGCTTAACAAATATAATTTTTTGTAGGATGTAGTATAAACATGCATTTAAAATTCATGTGCGTGATCCAATAACATATTTCAATTGATTTGTTACACCCTCTACACAAAAGACAACCAAAGCTCATTACACACACACCAAATATCAACACCAAATGTCAACACAAGCCATATCTACGTCGTCGCTGAATAAGCAACAGCATGCCAACTTGACAAGGGAATGGCGCATGTTGACAAAACGCCCAAAAGCATCGCCTTGGCAATTTGCCGCATTGTTGGTAAGACATTTTCACACCAAAGGACAAAAAAATTACATTTTGCCAACACGTCCGATCCAGCCTCCCCACAAGTTGTGCTTAAGACCCGCGGGTGTTTATCTTGGTTTCTAAACGTGCCTTAGAAGAAATCATAAGTTTCACCAGCTCACAAAACATCAAGTTCAAATATTCTTGGTTCTTTCGGTAAAGTCACGTAGAAGGGAAACAATAAAATAATATAAAACAATAAAATTCTCACGACGTTTCGACTGCAACACAAGCAATCATCATCAGGTGTGAAAACCACAGCAAGAAAATTTGAAACCACAGCAAGAAAATTAGAAATGTTATTGCCGTGGTTTTCACACCTGATGATGATTGCTTGTGTTTCAATCGAAACGTCGTGAGAATTTGATTGTTTTATATTTTTATTCTTTTATTGTTTCCCTTCTTACGTGACTTTACCGAAAGAACCAAGAATATGAATCCCTGCAGTCACCAAAGCTTTAAATCAAAATCAAGTTCAAATGTTTCCCAATCTCAAACTCTTGTTTGATGAGGGCCCTATGGCAATGGTCGAAATGACACATTCCTATATCGCAGACATGTTAATCAGCAAGGCAATCATTGCCAACTTGCGGTGCTGTGGTGGCGAGATGTTAACTACCTCGCCTAATATACAGGAGTGTGTGGGTTCGAGCTCGACCCTGACACGCCTGTATATTTGGAGTTTGCATGTTCTCCCCGTGGTGGCGTGGATTTTTCTCCGGGCCCACCGAGTTTTCCCTCCACATTTAGAATCAACATCACACGTTTAGAGTATTTGGCTGCTATACATTTCGACATAAGCCATTTTGTTGAACTACAATTTGTGGCCATGTCGCTTCTGAAAGAGCTATGTAGCTCAGTGGGACTTACACCTGGTAAAATAAAAAGCTGCAGTTAGACTTCCCACAAGGTGGTACTCATTTCGGAGAGACCCTTGGGAGGAATGGACTGTCGCCAAAAGTGGATCTGTTCACGAGTCTCGTGCCACAACCCGGGCAGTGGTGGTACCGACAGGGCGGTTTGCACGTTTTACCGCTTGTTGCGAAAGTCTCCGGTTGAAACCCCATTGACCACCCCTCAATTATCTGGATGTATTAATCACAACAACCGTCACACGCGTCTGCTCCACAGCAGTCATTAAATAATTCAGTGACCACCTTTGAATGAGTAGGCCAGGTGTGCTGGGGATTCAGTTCAAATTTAGCAAATTACTCACAAAAACAGATAGCATCATCACCCTCCTAAATGGCAACGCTATCCTGGTCTCAAACAGCATCCTCGTGATAACCTTGTACTTAAGAGAATGCCGCGACTCAAAAATTAATATTATGTTAATTCACGCCATCCAGCCGGTTATACAAAAAGCTGTACAAGTGTGAACGCACGCCACAAACGAACGCACACACCTGAACCTCTGGGCCTGCAGTGGAGCGGTGAAGCGCCGCGTGGGCGAGTGGTAGAGCTGCGACAACAGGGCCTGACTGGTCTTCTGGCTCGGGTTGTTGGCAAATTTCACCGTCATGGGTTCGGCGGCCCCGGGCGGCTTCTGCCCGTTGAGGCCCTTGATGGCCTCCTCTGCCTCCACGCGCTTGTCGAAGCGGATGAAGCCCACGCCGCGAGACAGGCCTGTTCAGTTCCACCCACCCACCCGATCGCCGTGATGAGTTTCATACCATACAAGTCTTAATTATGATTCTTAAATGAACGACACCTAGACATCCCGTGTTTTTTCTTCTTTGGTTCTTTCGGTAAAGTCACGTAGAATGAGAATAAAATAATAAATTGATAAAATAACACAATAATATTCTCACGACGTTTCGGCCACAACACAAGCGGCCTTCACCGAAAGAACCAAAGAAGATGAATCCTTGCAATCACGAAAGCTTTAAATCGAAATCCTGTGTTTTATTAAACATGCATGATGGATTGCATTGGTGAGTGTTTGAGTAGTCTCTGTACCCCAATTCATCCTAGTTAAATGAAAGTTTAAGTAAATTAATGTTGGAGAACCTTTGTATTCGCACGATGACCCTTCCTGCAAATAGTCACAAGCGTATTGTGTGATGCACAGAGATTTGCATGCATGCCCACGACACAAATGTTTCAAGTAATAAAATCTCAACATTGTATTTCCAAATTTAAAATCCCTGTTGCCCAATATAAGGGGACATATAATTCCTGGTTATTAAAAAATATATATTTTAGGTTTAATACCAAACATGAAGTTTAACACGTGGCTTTCACGTAATGTTGTTTACGTGACAGACCTTACTAATTGGCGTCGGGTGGTGGGCGGGTTTAGCAACATTTACAGTAAAACCTTGGATTGTGAGTAACTTGGTCTGCGAGTGTTTTTCAAGACGAACAAAATTTTTAAATGAATATTAATTTGATAAACGAGCGAGGGTCTTGCAATATGAGTAGTACGTAGACGCTTTGTCTGCCGAGCATCACGTGATCACAACTGATATACGAGTGCTTTGATATACGAGTGCTTTGGATTACAAACACGTTTCCACAACGAATTATGCTTGCAATCCAAGGTTTTACTGGATATATGTATGCGATCTAACCCTAAAACCTATATTATGGACCAAAAATGAAGTGTAAATAGTTGGATTTACAATCAATGCGATGAAGTCTGAATTAAAATAAAACGAGTCCCTTTTACGACGAAAGTAAAATAAAATCCATCACCCAACATGCATTCTTGACCACCTTTTTTCCCAGCAATATTCATGGCAACGGGGAAATTCTGGACAAGGTTTATCTTTTCTAAATCATCAGCTGGGTAAACTGGCGTTCCAGGCAAGAAGTCCCACCACAAACAGCGCGGACCGCAATACATTACACTGCACAACTCTATAAAAACTTCTTATGGCTGCCTTTTGGCAGACCGTGGGAAGTTCGTTTATAATTATTTGTATGCTAAGTGTTTGCTGCTGCTGTAACCTGTACAGCGCTTTGAGATCCTTGATGAAAAGCACTTTATAAATATTATTATAAGTGCTAAAAAGGTGTCTTTCCCTGGAACAAAACAGCTAATAACAATTTTTATACATATTCTTGGTTCTTTCGGTCAAGTCACATAGAAGGGAAACAATAAAATAATAAAAATATAAAACAATAAAATTCTCACGTTTCGACGGCAACACAAGCAATCATCATCAGGTGTGAAAACCACAGCAAAGAAAATTTTTCACACCTGATGATGATTGCTTGTGTTGCAGTCGAAACGTCGTGAGAATTTTATTGTTTTATATTTATATTATTTTATTGTTTCCCTTCTACGTGACTTTACCGAAAGAACCAAGAATATGAATTCCTGCAGTTACGAAAGCTTTAAATAAAAAAAAAATTTATACAGTGAAACAGCCAAAACTGTGAGCGACAATTACGGCAGGGAGCACCAATTACGGCAGGGGCAGAAAAAGCAGCTGCGTGCGTGCGGGGCAGCTAAAGTCCTACTGAATTACAATAAGCCTTGCTCAGCGCATGGCTTCACACAAACACCAGGGGAATAACTACTCAATAGTCTCCATGTGGGAAATGTCACTCATTTTCTTACATCCAGCAATATTTCACAGAACCCTCTAAATATTGGCTTGGGGGGAAAAAAAAGATAACTGTTCACACACCCCTTAACCCCCCAGAGTAAATTCACTTCATTCCTCACCTTGGTTGGAATGTACATTGTGTAACTTCAATGACAATCCTACTTATTCAGTTCTTTGTTAATCCACTGCAGGATGGGGAGTGTACATTGTTTTAACTTATTTCACAATGGCTGGTGAAACTCCCAGGATTGCTTCAAACATAATTTTCCTCCGATTACAGCCGTAGCCATGAATCGCCATGTTAGTGTACAGCGCTGTGCGCGACCCACTGCACGCCACCCCAACGTGCAAACGGCTGAGAAACACCACGGTATTGAAACCCAATGTTTAATGTTTAATCCCCCCCCCCCGCCCCATTCACAAGGCCAATTTATAAGCTGAAATGTAAAGTCTCACACTGGACCCTATTAAATAACCCATTAAAGTGTTGGGTATTTCCCATGGTCAATCGTCCAGAATCAAATAGGATGAAGTACAACTTTATAGTACCCGTGACATTCAGTTTTGTTGGAATAAAAAGGATCCTTCACTCCCCCTCACCCCCATCCCAATGCTCAGAAATTAAGATTTTGATTCTGGGTTATAATTCCAGTCAACAACCCATTCCTGTATCACTTTAGCATCTTCTTTGTCACATGTTGCCAACCTTGTTCGCCAAATGACCCTAAATGAAATATAATTTGCTTAAACCATAATGGATTATCACGGAATCCACACTGAAATTAATGGGGATCAAGTGGACAATTCCAAGGTTGTCAAAAATTCCCCATTCAATTTAATGGCAAATCTTGTGTACATTAAAATCAATGGACTTAGTGGGGATTCCAATAACGACCACTAGATGGCAAGCTAACCCTGTGAGAATCCCATTCCTCGTGAATGGAGATTTTTAAACATGGACATCGCCAATAGTGGCATTGTGGGGCAGTAAATACCATTATAATAATCACCACTTGTGCTACCTAGTGAATGCCCCAATATGAAGTGCCCCCCATTACCCAATACAGAAATTCTGAGTTCTGGACTGCTCAAGTGTACCTCCATAAATATCCAATGCAGGACACCATTTGTAACGAACACTGAAGTCCAAAGTGCTAGACCCTAACATACCTCTATTCATGTACAATTCTGGACGATTAAGTGTAGCCCTCAACGATAGACCTTGCATGTACCCCCCCCCCCCGTCAGTGGCTTCTAACGCTGGACGCCAAATGTACCCTCGATAAATGTCTGACAGACTTCGTGCTGTCACCCCATCAACACCTAATTCTGGACCCCGCACATACCTCCAAGCCATGCCTACATTTCAGAACCCAACATCCAATGACAACGGTGGCCACGTATTTCAATCCACACGAGCGTCCATCTAACGCTGGACCATGCCCACGTGTACCCCACTCCACCCCACCCCGTGCTAGTACCCGTGAGCTGATCAAGCAGGATGCGCGAGGTGATGATGCGGCCGTGCTGGGAGAAGAGTCCCTCAAGCTCCTTCTGCCCCATGCCCTTGGGCAGCCCCGACACGTAGAGGTTCGCGTCGCGAATCGAGGCCGAGCTGGGCCGCGCGTACGACACCTGCGCGCGCACACACACACATACGCCGCGGTCATTACTGGCAAAAATCCCATGCTGTGTGGAACAAACATGCCCCTCAAGTTCGATTCCCGCTCATGACAAACACCACTGACGATTATCTGAAGCGGTCCTAGGTTAACAGCCTCAAATGAGTACCGCTGGTGCAGTGTGTAAACATAGCCACTGGGGAGACAAAGGCGGTCAGGCATAGTCCTGGCCACCCACCTCCTCATGTGCCGTTCTGGCCTTCATAGGTGCTCACCAACGGCACTTGCCCCAACAGCTTATTAAGGCTATGTAGGCGGTTTTTGTAACCCCCCGTGCCCCCCCCCCCCCCCGCTGCTGCAGCCACCCCCAACAAAGCAAACAAGAGGAATACAGAAGCATGGTATAAACGATCACCGCCACCAGTATAATTGAGTGGATCTAAAGGAGCTCCAAGTTGTGATCTAAGGCAAAAAAGGGAAGCAGAGGGAAGCGGAAGATAAAATAAATAATGAGCGATAAAACAAAATGGGAAACGAGTCATCAGTTTAAATATTACCAGATAACTTAAATATATTTCACGTGCGAGATATATAAATATGGGGTGGAGTGGTGGAAGAGCGGTTCACGCACTGTGCTCTGAACCCGACAAGCTGACCTCTGCTGACTGGAGGGGGTCACGTGAAGCCGTCACACGCAACATACATATTCAGACCTGGGGTCAACTACTATTGTTTAATTCTTAATGAACTGAAATAACCATGCAACTGCAATTACAGCTAAGACTACTGCTGTAATTAATTAACCCCAGGTCTGTAATGTATGCTAATAAAAAAAGTACCCTTGATGCTTACATGCGTGATTCAATGCATGCATTAAGAGATTAAAATAATCAATATATAATTACACCCCTACGATGTTATCTACTATGTAGCACTCAAAAAAAAGCAACCAGTTGGGATTAAAAACAACATCCACAATTCAAATGTCATACTTAGAGGTCAACTTTTCCTCATCGGTGCAATGTGTAATCTACAGTTACGAAGGTAAGATTTATTAACTGTAAACATTCAGTATTCCCGAAATCGTCAAAAGGATGTTTTACGCCCACTATTTGAAGGATGTATCCTGCATACATAAAATTAGTTTAATGAAGCCAGATACGTAAATGCCGATAAAACCCACAATTAAAAATGTAATGCAGGCAGGAGACAAATAAGATTTAACTAAACTCGGCCTTTATCCAAACGACCGGTTCAAAACTAAATGTGTGGCCATTTTGTCATGTGGACCACCTGCTCAGTCGCCTGTTGGGATGGCCACATTTTTTCAACCCTTTGGAATGGATTATCTAAACAACAAAATGGCCACACATTCAATTATTTTGGAGTTGGTTGTGCACGCGATGCACGGCTTGGTGTTGTTACATTTATCCGTTTTAATTGATAAACTAATCAACTCTGGCTACACGTCTACTCATTATGTAAAATCTATTTCGGTGTTATAATACTCCTTGGAAAAGTGATGTGTTTAACTGTAGCTTCTCGATGCCCATGTGGGTTAAAGCCTGTCTGAATTATTTAACAAAATCACTCTGGAATATGACAATTAGAATTAAGTTGTTACGATTACAAAATTACAATTTTATTCGATGACATTTACCAATCACGAAATACATGCACTTTTAATTTTATGACCAGTTGTAAACTAAAGTCATTGTCAAAAGACAAAGCCTGGAGGTTATCACAACCAGCAGAGCAGCATAGAGGGAAAAGCCCCCACACAGTACACAATGCTTCATTTTAATGCAAATGCTTACAAAATCCGAACAAAAACAGGATTCTTCTGATGTTGCACTGGAGCAGCAACCTAGATGACTAAAGTAACAAGCATTAACTCCAAACAGGACACTCGACAATGTTCAAGAGATCATTTAGCATACTCGTTGCTTATATTGCAGTAGTAGTAGTAACTCATCGTCTGTCCATGCAGAACATTTAACATTTTTATAAAAACAAAACCACCAAACCACTCGCAACAAAACTTACGATGCAACTTACCAAAAAAACATTGCCAGTCATTTTTGGAAATTAAAACTTAACATTAAAAAAATATTTAAAAAAATTGTCAGCGCTGTCCATCAGCATAAGCAGGTGCATGTCAGTGCCAGAAAGTAGCTAACATGTACTTGTGTTAAGACTCCCTTAAGATTTGGTTTGCTGGATTGTTATAGTGTACATCTAACTCGTGGGCTCTCTCCACGGCTCGGTATTCTTCCGAGCACACAATAGCAAACAAACCCTCGCAGCACCAAAGCAGCAGTGGTGTCTACGTTACGTTACGAGTTTGTTTTAAGTAAAAATGTCACGGGGTGGGTTATGCAGCCCGGTGGATTTAACCTCCATATTGCAGTACTGTGTGTACCCACCACTTGTGACCAAGCCTCCTCACTTTCCACTCTCAATGCAATTTAAACTCGTATTGCTTCTATCTTCTCTCGAATCCCTGGCAAAATGTATGTGTTATCTTTGATGGAGTGTACGTATTACAAGAAAATAGACTATCCAACTTTCTTTGATGACATATATAAAATAGATATAAAGGGTGCACACAACTTATACTGCATAAGAGCGCACGGTCCTTTCTGGAAAGACAGGGATATGAAGGATGTTAGTCCGGTTAAACCCAATCTCGTTCGAGGTTGTGTTATTAATTTTACCACTATTGAAATGTGTCACGATACATATGGTATAGATAGAAGCCTATAAGTACCCATTAACGCCTCACGATTAAATGAAATTTAATGATTGGGAGTGGCCATTTTACTTAAAATATTTTGTCTCGCTTATACCATCGAACTTGTCTTTAACTAATGTAAATGTAATGTGCAAAACATTGAATATATCATTTGTATACATCCCAACTATTTGCTTCTTACAATCACAATTCAATGTTTATCGTGGGCATAAGAAAATATGTAAAATCCATGAATGGCTACATGCCTAGCGGTAACCAATGTGAATAGTGCAAAGACGATGTGTACGTGTCACTTCCCTTCACATCACCTATTATAGATAACAAAACCCCGAGCGCTATCGCTATGAAATGTAATACGCACCTTACTGACACCAATGTGAAAAGCTATATAGTGTCGTAAGAACACACTTCTAAAACGTTTTATTTTTTAAAAAGTAACATTATGCTGCAAATCACTATTAATAGCAAGTGTGGGCTTATGGGACGTGTGTGCGACGAATCTTCCATCCAGACTGCCGCAGCTAGGGTCACTAGAGGGCTCTATCATTCAACGCTGACGATATTTTTGCTTTTTATTTGCGTGCTCGTGTTTTTTTCAAGGGTCATATTTTGTCGGCTCCATCACAGCATAATTATATGCGAAGTATTATTTTATTTTAAGTGGTTTTTTTTTGTTTTCACGTGGAAAGAATAGTCTCGGAATCCCTTAAAAAAGTGAAAGCTCCCAATTGTGCTTTCAATGTCTTGTAAAAAAACAAAACAATCCATTCCATTTCAATTGGAGAAGTCCATTCCTCTTGTGTGTTAGCGAAGCTGATAACGACAAAGAGCTTCTGAAATCCCTTGCAGACTGCTAGTCTACAAAGTAGAGGGTGGGGGGAGGCAGCACTGTCGTATGCTTCTTTGTCACAAAAGTACCGTTCAGTCCCTGCTATTATTTCTCAAGAGTTAAAATTAAACTCCATCAAATGAAGAACCGAATATAATGCAATGCTTTTTTTTGAGAATCCATTTGTCAACAGGCCAAGACCATCAGTTCACTAAAATTACAAATACTCAACAAACGTGTTTAAAAACAGATACCTGCAAAGATTCACACCCAGGGATCTCAGCAGGAACCGCTGAGCAATGGGGGGGGGGGGGGGGGGGGGCAACCCCTCCAGCAATGAAAAATGATAGAGGAGTTGTTAGTAAGAGGAGTTGTCCCTTGCTTTTTATTCGACGCGTGTGCGGTGATGGCGCAGCCATCGATCGAGGGGTCGAATTCAAACCGTGTTGTGTGATCAGCACCGCGCTCGCCGAAGGTGAATGCCTTCAAAGAAGTCGTGTACTGTATACGCAACTGCGCACAATTCTGAGAGTCACTTATAACTACTTTGCCGTTCCTTATTGCAAATTATGGACTCAGACTATTGTCCTATCATCTCAGAGTCCCTGGCACATAAGCTACACAGTGACAGTAGGGGTCGCAAAATGCCGATTTATTACTAATAAACCCCAATGATAAGATCGAAATTAGGGATTTCGATAGGATCATGGGGGGGGGGGGGGGCACGTGCCACCCCCCCCCCCACTGGCTCTGCCAGTGCCGCTGAGAAGTCTACGACCTCTGAGCTAACTCAGCCGCTTCACCCAATGTTTTTGTTTTACTTGATATTGAAATTCCCAGCGCTATCATTCGGCACGCGAAGGACATGTCGACACTCACCTTGATGGTCTTGGTCTGCAGGCGCAGGCCGTTGAGGGTGTTTATTGCCTTCTCAGCATCCTTGGGGTCCACATAGTTAACAAAGCCATATCCCAGGCTCTGGCCTGCTGGTCGGACGCACACACACACAAAGAAGCGCAACACCACGCCGCACATGTTAGCAACTTCAGCCTTAGAAGTGACTGCTGGCACCTATGGTGGGGCGAGGGTGGTGGTGGTGGCTGTGTGGTTAGCGGATGCCTTTGCATCTCTCCATTGCCGATGCAGAGCACACCTCATCAAAGTACTCATTTTTGGCTGAATTAACCTCGGACTTGAGCATGCCAAGTTGATATACAGTCAGGCCAAGTTTATATACAGGGTGATGCATTTACAGATACCCCCCATTGATTTTTTCATTACTCACGGCTGACCAGGTGATTGAATATCGTGAAAGTGATGGCTCTATTTTAGGAAAAGGTTTCGTCAGTGTACCGAGATTGGCGGGAGATGTGCACAGGCTTTAAAATAAAATGTTTTTCCTTTAATTCCGGTGGAATATTTTAGTTTGGGATCTATAAATTGATCACCCTGCACTGACGCGACTGGCCATTTTTCCACGTCAAGTTCAAACCAATTTCTGTCTCGTGATCAGGAACTGAACCCACGCCGTTGGGATTGCAGTGCATTAACTAATTAACACTCCCACTTCTTACACACACAGGCGCGCACACACAAACGCAGGCAATAACAGCAGTGGCATCACCCGTTTAAGGCTACGTGCAGTGACTTCTAACAATACGTTTGCAATTTGAGCTTTTACTTTAAATAAGAGCTGTTGAATAAAAAGAGGCTTGTAATATGTACTTGACAAATTATTTCTTTAGAAAAATACCCCATTAGAGGCACAACAAATAATTTAATCTTAAAAGTTTTTTTATCAAATGCATTTAGGATTCAGCAAACGAGATGACATTTTTTATTCAGTACAAGTTGATTAATGTTTCCAACCTCCCAATTGAAGTATGCATGCACGTAACAATTCCCCACTCAGCCACTCAACAGATTCACGGACAAGACTTTAATACAGTAAGCCACTGTTTTGTCCTGCTTTAACCCACATCTTTACAATCTCGTTTACCGTCATCCCACATTGTGTACCGTCTCTCTTTCCATCTCGCTTTGTCCATCTAGTCATGTCCTGACCCTTCACCTGAATGAATAGGCAGTCATAAATGTGCTCGATTAAAAACCCCAAAATGACTGCTACAAACAAAATAGATGTATCAAAAGCTTTTGGAAGCTAATTGAACGTATGAGTCGATTGCGGACAGGATGGGCAACAAAAACAGGACAGCAGTTTTAAGTATTTTGGTGTAACATAGCAAGTGAGGGAGGGTGTGAGTTGGGAGGTAAGAAGTCGAGGCAGGATGGAATAATTGAGAGGTTTCAGTATTTGTACAAGCTAAAATGACAGTCAAATGGAAAGGGGATATGAAGAGATATACGTCCAGTGCTGTTAAATGGTGCCGACGTGGACATGACGGGAGAAAGAAGGCTGAGTGCTTGAAAGGGCAGCGATGTGAACGGCAAGATGGATGTTGGGAATATTTCCAAGGAAAGGAGGCGGAATGACTAAAGTTTGAGCCTGAACATGAGGGAAGACTGAGGGACGAGATGGAAGGATGCAATGGAACAAGATACAAATGTGACAAGATGCACAGAAGCATATTGCATTGCAATGGAAGAGGTTTAAAATTCACCTTTTAATACTTGTGTGTGCGTAATTTATCATGGTTTCTACCCAACAGGCCCAAAACAACATGCGGCCAGCAACAAACAGCAAAAAAGTTGGAATTAGAGTTTGTTTCTTGACCCAAGAAAAGGTAGAATTGGGAAAAGATGGTGGGAGCAAATTCCAGAGACGAAGTCAAGAGTACGAGGAAAGAAGCATTAAGTGCTTTGATCTGCACCATCTATGGTGGATGTACACAGTATGGTCGAGTCCGTAATGCGAGGGAGCGGGGGGAAGAAAATAATTGAGAGCGAGTTAAATAGCGCGAAAATCTTGAGCAGCAGATCCCATGCATTAATGGGAAATTTGGCTGAGGAAGAGAAGCCATTGCTTGCCAATCGGAAACTCATTGCAGCAACAATGCACACAACTACTACCCACCTCCATCCTCTTCTAAACCCCCCCATCCCAGCCAGCAATTGCCTTATCACCTGTCAACTTGTCACGGATCAGCTTGCACGACTCGATCTCGCCGATGCTGCCAAAGAGCGAGCGGATCTCCTCCTGGGACATGCTCTGCGGCAGGTAGTTCACAATCAGGTTGGTCTTGCTGTCCTCCATGCTGGTGCCGGTTGGAATGGGCGAAGTGCTCCCTGTGACCACCCCACCTCCACCGCCACCATTGGGAGCGCCACCGCCGCTGACGCCGCACATGATCCCGTTGGACAGAGGGGAGTCCATGGGGTCCGAGACCTGAGAGGGATATCATTAACCATCACTTAAAATCCATACCGTGCCTCCCATGCTGTACGCTGAGGCACCTTGCAGTAGTAGCAGGGGAAGCCAGATGTCAGCTGTCCCTGTAAGGCACTAGGTCAGTGTTCTTCATTACAAGGCCCGAGGGGCCACTGGCAGCCCCTGGTGACCTTTAGTGCGGCCCATGACGTGCTGCCCCTGACAATACACAAATATGAAAATACCCCATGGTTTCAAATGTGTGGCGGTCCTCACGCTAATGTTTTATCAGCAAAAGTGCCCTTCCCCTCTGAATATTAATGACCACTGCACTGCCCAATAAGTGGGCGCTATTGTGATGTGGCCTACCAATTAGGTAATTTGACAGGTATTTATCCAATGTGGCAAATTTGGATTAAGGCACAAATGGATATTCTTTTGTGAATGCCATGGGATCGTTAAACAACCACTGTGAAGCAGGTGCATATTCTTATGATAAAATATTAACCAGGGTGGCTGCTGGGCTCAACTGCGAACCTTTGCAACAAGAATAGGTTACCCACCACAGTGGTGATGGGGAGAGGGGAGGGCTCAAAGGAGGTAAGGGGCCATCCATTTAGTACGTACGCATGGAGGGGGGGGGGGGTGAAGCCAAATGCGTAGCTTGCGTATGGGGGTCTACTGACAATGTACATATGCATAGGAAACGGGAGGGGTGGGGGGTGAAGCCTCGATAATAATTTGTCTACATTGGCCTTCAAATTAGTTAGATTAGTCCGGCGGTGGACTATTTGCTTAAACACGTTAATATTATTCATCCTTGATAGTTTCTGCGTGGATTAAATATCGGCCGTTCTATAGGATTCGGGGGGGGGGGGGTGGGGGGTCAGTCAAGCGTATGTACGCAGGTGGGGGGAGGGGTCAAGTTGACAGATTTTTGTGTACGTACTAAATCGATGGATGGCCCCCAACGATACAACTCTGCAAGTGCTTGTTCACACCACTGCCTGGCCCAAGGACCTGCACTAGATTAAACCGAGAGCCTCAGGGGATAATTGGCTCACTTTTCCACGCTGGCTACACACCTACTTAAGTTACATTTAAACATATTTAACATTTCAACTTAATTTTGTAATTGTACTATGATCAGTGTTAAAATAATCTGCCCGTCCCGACTTATGCTTCACGGAATTTAATAGGTAACGTTGATTTAACATTGATTAATGTTTGTGCAATGTTTTCAATTTCTCAGATAAATGTTTTTGTTCCGATTTCTATATACTTCATTGCTGTACTTCAAGTTTTTGCCACTTTGGAAACCCAGGTCACCACGTGCAAATGAGACTATCCTGGTTCATCAAAATAAACTTGAACTTGACATATTAAGGTGTGGGAGTACACACACTTTATGCCACCACATGTGACTTGCCGACTGATTAATTATCTATGGGATACCTATTTATACTGCTAGGTGGAGAGGCAGAGGTGCCCACGTAGCAGGGATAGTTTAATTGTAGGATGCAGGACGCCACCACGAGGGATTTAAATTCAATGTTTTAACTCCGGGTTTGTGAACACGTTCTGATTGGACGCGCTCAGGCACGAGCGTCTGGTTTGTGGTAATGAATAGAGCAGAAGTTATCTGTACAAGGGAAATATGCCCAAATGCCTACCACATTAAATTATTCTTTCCAGAGTTTTAATAATAAAAACAAATGTACGTGATTTTTGTTTACATAAACAGTGCTTGAAGAACAACACACGCATGCCAACATAGACAGAGCCTTGGCCTTACACCAAAATCACCCGGGAATGTGCCCTACATCAGCAGCTATGCAGATATTAACCTCGACAGTGCAGGGTGGGTGTGTGGTTTTGTTACTGGGTCGCGTACGGTGTTCCAGCCCTGAGAGTCCCAGGTGCCCCCGCTGGGAGAGGCGTACGCCGACGGCTCCTCACTCACGCGGAGAGACATCCCGTGCCGCTCTCAAAAAAACACGCCCGCTCTGCTGCTGTCTGGATCGTGCGGGTGGCACGGCTTTGGCTCGCTTTCCCTCGTTCCGTGCGCCGTACACGCACCCCAACGCGCCTCTCTTACAGAGGACCCCACACGGGCTGCAGACAAGACTGAGAAGAGAGCGGTGGAGGGCGAGAAACGGCGAGATCATCAACCTGACGACCCCCGACACCCCGCGTGATCTACTGAACCATAGGAAAAACAAGGGGTCGGCAATGGTCAAATTCTGAAATTTTATTTTCCCTGTTCGGCTCCGTGCAGGACTGGGTTGGGCTGTTAAATGATATGACCAATTTGGCCAAGACTTATTTTCCTCAATTTGACAGAAGTATTAACTAGATCTTATATGTGGCTTTGAAAGATGACTCGGAAATGACGGTTATACCCCATTGTACACGCAATGTGATGAATAGACCTGATATGCTGCAACTCATCTGCTAGGATTGCAGACCAGTTCAGCCTGAATCTTAAGTCACCGAGGCCATTATTGCCATATTTATAAAAGTGTCAAGCACTATAGTCTACGCAAAGCCCGCTCAGGTCTGGTGCCCACCCCGCCGATGCAAACTGAACCATATTCACCCCATGCACAATATATGCGTGCTGCATTCATAAGCGGGAGCAAGCACACTGCCATATCCCTGCAGGGAACTTGAGTTAAATTGAACTGGAACATATATTGCCTTCGGATGGTTTTCCCAAATACTAGTCAAGTGCATTAAATGAGCACGCAATGACACGAAACAATACATTTACATAAACAATATTTATAGTTTAAGCGCCGCTTCTTGACAGGGAAAACCCAACGGGATTTAATCCACATATAAAAACGCACACCAGTAAAAAAAAAGCACCTACCAATTCTATGAAGCATCCGAAGAGTTAAATAATTTCCATTTATCCCTTTTATCAATTAAAATGGGGCTTTTTCTGCTTTTTAATACAAATGAGCGCAGCCACCGCCCACGCCCCACAAGGAAGGAATATTAAACGCGGCTATCATTTGCTAACGCAGCCCACCGAAGGCCTTTTCTTTCAGCCCTCACGTCAAGTGTAGTAAAAAGCAACATCCGCCCTTATTGGCAGCTGTAAGGCGCGGCGATTCACGATTAATACTAGCGGCAGGCCACACCCAGAGGGCATTGGCGTAAATAAATCAGCCGCGCGGCGGCCGCTGACGGCTCGTGATGCCAAATCAAAGCGGCATTCGGCGCAGCGGCAACAAAGGAACGAAGGGGCGCGACGCTGCGTCTGTTACAGTTCGCCACGACGGGGCCGAACAATAGAGCAGCAGCAGACAGCCGTGCACCTTCAGAAGCCAGCGGAGGCGCGACGTATGGAGCTGCGCGCGCACGCGATGCGTTCCTTCGACCTTGAGGAAAATTACCAGCGAGCCAACGCAGGGCCACCCCCCCCCGCACCCTTTTTTAAAATTGGTTTTCAACGGAGCGGTCACACGAAACACCGCCAAAACGCGTTACAAAATATAACAATAACCAAAATGTATATTACATGCAAGTGTATATAAACACGCATGTAGAAGCGTACATAATGCACTGCCTGTGTATGCGCCACAGCGAAAGGAGAGACGCTTAACATCACACAGTCTCGGTCGTAAAACTTGCGCGACGTTAAGTGCATTGACCTTAGCAATAAATGAGCCAACATGACCACAAGCCTTAAGGTCAATTTTTTTGCGAAAATAACCTTAGGGCGCGGCGATGCTGAATAATATAAAAAAATGTTGTACGTTTCCGTGAGATCCTCAATATAGCGAGACAATTTTGAGACAACCATCCACACTCCTTCCGTTTAGCCTAAAATATGGAAGCCAAAAGACGACAAAAACATTTGAATCAGAAAGGCTTCAAAGCAATAACCCATTATGTGAAGCCTGCCTGTGCAGTGCAAGCTTGTGTGGATAAAGCATGCTACAACGTTTTAAACATATTTCCGCTCTTCTTCAAACACACAACCAATTTGAGAAGTTAAAATTAGATGACTGTGCTATGTTCCTCCAGCATGAAAGCATACAACTCATTTTTATCTCTTTCAGCCAGTGTTAACATCTATACTTCAATGTTTTGCTGGCTTGTCTAATTTTCCCTGGATTATAATCATGTCTAAATAAGCCATTTCAAATTGCAAAGCATTAGCGGCTTATTAGGACGTGTAAAGAGTAGTTACATAAGAGGATTGACAATACGGCGTACCTTTTACGGCAATGTAACATACCCGTGAACACATTCAGAACACGTCCTTGTTTGCCAAGTTTGCGTTTAAACGATGAACAATGTCCTTTATTTACCCACAGAAGCCTCAGTCTCAACTCTTTCAAGGGGTCCTCTGCTCGGCACGTACGTTTGGACTAACTGCGTATTGAGTACGACAATTGTGTGGAGCCACTCAATAATCACCCCGCGTTTTGCAATCGTAAAAGGAGGAGGGGGCCCAAAATGCTGACGCGCGTTACATGGTGCTGCAGTGTGCCCGCCACACCCAGGCAATACATCAGCGCCGCAACGTGCGCACGCTCACACTTTTACGAGTGCGCAGGAGCCCACGAGGCCGGCGCCCGTACTCGCGAAAATCCATCAAGCGCCTTTCCGATAGACGGACCACAAGAACTGCACCGGCACACACACACGCACGCAGACACGCACGCCAGATCCCCGCCGTAAAGCCTCCACAGGCTGATGGGGGCAAATGCTGCTAGCTGGTAAATACGAAGGCCCACACAGTGCTCGAGGCCAAGGGGATGTGTGGCCACAGTACCACGCCCCACGGCCATTTGTCTCCTCCCCAGTGCTGATGTTTACACAGTACATCAGGTACCAGTCCTCAATCACGTGGTGGAGGGCCTGTGTTGGGTTCAGATACATGGCTGCTGATGTTATCCATAGTCGGAAAATGAACTTGGGTCGCTTGGGTATGGTGCAGTCCACACACCACTTACTGTGCTGCCACTCCATGACGTACACCATCACGCAAACACTTCAAAAGATGGACATGTCACAGCCGAGGGGTTTGCGAACTTGCCTGAGTGATTGTTTATTAGCATACCCTAAGCTGCAACATCGTGGAACTGGTTTAATGTACAGTGCCTAAGATTCGTGAGACTTAGAATCTTAAATAGTCAGGGACTCCTTCCAAGACAAAATGCAGACATAGGCAGTAGTGTGGACACTCCCCAATCAGGATCTGAAATCAACTCCATAATCACTATGGCTTAAGTTCTGATGTCCAAGGGTGGCCTTTTACGAGTTGAGCAGTGATGTCCTCCCATTCCCCAAAAAGGGACTTGAACGATGCAGCAGAGACAGCACCACTGGACCAATGAAATGTATCACAAAACACTTTTTTCTCATGACATGAATTTATTTGAGAAACCCCAAAGTGCTTAGCAGCGAGCCCTATTACGAGACAAGAGGTGAATTGCTTTTTCCCCACCCCTAAATCCGGCAAACATCTCCCACCCAAACAATACTGGCACACCATAATGGAATTCCACCCAGGCAAAGAAGGATGCTACAGTAACCCTGAACTGTACGCAGGGATGGATGTTTCGGTACCCTGGACGGCATGCAGGGATGGATGTTTCAGTACCCTGGACAGCAACACGCGCAGAGGCAGGAAGTAATGTGCACGTCCACGTTTAAACGTGAAAAAGAAAACTCCCAATGTTTTAACTTTTTTGAGTTGGCACTTGTCACGGAATATAACTGTCGTATTTTTTGAAAAGTTTATTTTTCCCACATGTTATCCTGAATGTTCTATTGGTGTCATGAAATAAAATGTGATTATAGAACAACCAAGGTAAGCAGATATTAGAGAGCCACCTCTGAGATCCTTTCAAGTGACCTCTGATCCACAGTAGATAAACACTTTCTTACCTACTCTGTATACGAGAAAAAAGGTTTGTCGCATGACAATGAAACCGGTGCTTAATTATCAGAGCTGGAAATTAGCCAATTTAAGTTAAAAAAGGCGAATTTTAAGCAATGGGATTTTTTTTGGTACCCTCAATAATTGGTGGCCAACCTGAGACTGTCACTACACTCGATAATCCTAAAAACGGGGTCGTCGTTTCCTCTTCAGAAAAATATAAAATTAATAAGGTTAGACAATTTACCACCACCATTCCCTACGAGTCCTGGGAATCTGCTAGGCGTGGTCTGACAATTAAGACCGTTTCTGATGGCCCTGCCATCAAGGCAGAATAGGCTTTTTAGGCTGTAAATTATTGATGCCTTGTAAAGAGATCGTGCCTACCGCTGCACAAGCGTCCAAAAATTGATCATTTCACTGTACAGCTAAAAATACCTCCCACCCCCCCAAGTTCATCGCAAACAGTATAATTGTACAACTGAAATTGCTGCAAGTTGAGTACTTTTCTCGGAAGACACTTGTGTAACCATCAACCACAATCACAACATGAACAGGCCGATCGATGCGCACATCTCCTTTATAAGTGGACCATTAAAGCTATGCACGTTGCGAGACAAGCCATGCAACCACCAAACTATGGACTCACATTATAGCAAACCACTGTAGTCTGCGCTCCTTCAATGAAGGAACGGCAAACATACAAACTCTGAAGAAGCCCTCTTGTAGTAAGCAGACCTCGCAACATTGGCATGTCTCTCGATATTGCCATGCACAAGACTGAATAGTTGTCCTCTTTATTCGAGTCACTGAAACTGTGAACCTTATCTGCCAGCACCCCCCCCCCAACTTTCTCCTCCACAAATAATAAATCAGCCACTTCTGGGAAGAGAAGCAAGCTATGTCAGAAAAGTACACAGGCCACGCAAATGCACTTAAAGGTCACCGAGCAGTCTCCAAGTATTGATTCGAATTAAAATACATTGAAACACTTACAATGTATCGAAATGGGCTTGTAATATTTACGATGTATGCAAATTACATGCTCAGTTATGGTCAACAAATAAGCCAAACGTGGCTGTAAAATATAAACTCGACGATAAAAAAAGTATCGATTCCCGAATGAAGGCGCAACGTAAAATCCCAAGGATTCATCCAAGAGCGGAGTAAATTGTGCAGACTCGGCAGCCACCCAAACAAAGCACATGTGCATGTAAATGGATATGCAAACGCGTATGCTAATACTAGCACGCTGACATTGACACGTACATATTCGCACCTACTCAATAATTCCTCAGGTAAGGGTAACCCTTCTTGACCCCATTAATGAACATAGTTAATTGCTCGCACAAAATCGAGCCAAGCACTCCCACAGCTCATGGCTGAAAACCCCCAGCTCGCATTACATTACATTGCATTAAGATGGTTGTGATGCATCACTCTCTAGTCAAAATTATTAATGGCTGCACCATCCATCAGCTGCCGTGTAGCTTGAGGGCTTTATACATGGTACACAGCCTATACGGGTTTCTGCGTATGTGAATAAAGTATAAAAACATTGACTGTCGTGTACAAGTAAAAAGGTGAGTGCACATGACTAACATAAGTGGTGATATCTGAACTTGTCCTGCATCTCCACACTTCCCCCCTCCCCTAACAACCTGCATTGACCATCGTGATGAAGTATGGTCAAACAACCCCCCAACAACGCCACAGTGTGAGGTCTTTATCCAACAGTGGATTGTCAAAGGATTTATTTTACATTACAAAGCTTTGTATCAACATAAATAAAATGGCAAACATGCACGTGAAAGTGTACACGTTATAGATATTTAGTTTTTTTTAAATCATGGGGGGGGGGGTAGTCCGAACATACCTTACAACGCCTGTGCAGCAGGCGAACCCAAAACGAGTTCAGATATCATTCACCGCTGACCTTAGCCACGACGAGGAATTGAAAACAAGGTTACCAAAGCTCACTGTGCCGAGTGCTAACCACTGTCCCACCATTCCTCTTAAGATTCAACAGCAACCCGCTCATCGGATACGAGCGGCTTTGGAAATAATGGCCACCAGCAACTGGCCATAGGCAAGATTTTTGACTGGGTCAAAGGTTTTGGGAAAATCTGGCAAAGAGGGATTCACGTTCGCACTGAACTGGTAAACTCTACACGTATCTCATTTCACACATGGCACATTTACATACGGTGAGATTTTTCCTTAAAAAAAACACCAAGATGTTTTATAATTTGAATGTCAGTGTCAAGTTTTTTTTAATACATCACGTTTCTACGGCCACTCTACGTCTCTAATTATCGAAAGCAGACACAACGAAGCTAAAAACACTACTCACCATCTCGCCAAACTTACAAATGAATGCACCTACTATGCCATTTTGCATGTCCACTAAAATTAATGCAGCCTAAACAAACTGTGGGTCGCGAGGATTATTTGATCATACTTTACCGTGCTTTTAACGCATGAGGTGTGGAGGTCGCTCACGAGGTGGATTAATAGGGCAGTCAGTACATGTACAAACGAACCACTGAGCGTGGTAATAAAATGGTGCTCACTTTTACTCGTAAGGCATTCTCATTATTTGAATCTGGACATTTATCTTGGAAATTGTATAACAAAAACACAATCCACACACGCACCAAAACATTACATCCTATTTGGTGGAGTATTTTTCATCAAAGTGTTGCTAAGAATTGCTCTTCGTGTTTACCAATTGCTCAAAGTCATTTAGTGGGCCATGTCACCGCTGCAAGTCGCCTGCGGCACCAACGATATTAAACCCAGCTACATCACCCCATCCATGACAAACCAACACTGCTACCAACACTCGCAAGAGCATGATGGCCTTATATTGAAAAGGTGCTACAACATTGGGTGACATCAAAATCATATTAGTCTTCAGGATGAAGGAAAAAACAAAATACAGTGGACCATAATCCAAGAGGAGCCAACTACTACAACCACATCGGCAAAAGGGAAAATAGCCAGCAACATAAACTTCAAGGCTTGCGCATTTGGCTTTAATAAAGAACAATTATTACCTTGGGCAATTTGCAAAGAGCCGTTGCGCTTGCTGTGCAGTTAATGCAGTTTTATTTATCAAAAAATCGTCTTCTCAAAAATATTCCACGATTGTTTTTATCAATACAGTAAGCAGCACTGTCTAACGGGCGTGGGGAAGTAGGGTCAAATAACCCACCCTGCACGACAAAGTGTATGGGAGATCCTCATCCAGCAGTGGATACACTGTATATAAAAGGGGATATACAAACACTGCGGGGTGGGGGCGTGGTGGTTTCAATTTTTTTTCCCCCCCTCACCGACAAGACCAACAACTGCCGCCCAAATGATTTTCCGATGGCAAGTGATATCTGAAAGTCTGTTATCCGCCTCCGCCAGCCCACACAAATCAACGTTAAGTAGGATCAAACAAACTCCCATGATAAGACATGGGCGTGTAGAGGGGAGGCCTGCATCCAGCAGTGTATAACAAAAACATTTACATTATTTTACAAGCATTGGTGCTACTGCAGTACACTATTGTTGAAATATTTACTGCAGTAGGGCCTACTTTACGTTGGCACTTGTTATAAAGCGTTCCACACAATTGTTTGCCGAACTAGAAAAAACAATACAGTAACCACGCGTAAGGCGTTGTACATATTACTCGATTCGTGTACCGTTAGCTGCAAAGGTGTGCACACGAGTCACGTGCGTTTCACAACTAAGCAATCAGGTAAAGCGCCCTCACGTTTTATTCAGGCGAATTCGACTCGAGGACCGGTTTCCAGTGAAAACGTCATTGAATCGTGTTCAAATGCAGGTGATAAACGCAGACAATAGTCGATTGTGCGCACGTGTTTGGGAGCCAGCCGGGTTAATGAGGGGGATTGGCAGTGGGGCGGGTTAATGAATCACGTGAGTCTCGTTTAGCCATCGCTTGATGCGCGTGCACCGCTCATCCACGTGCACGCGCGGCCAATGGGGGGTGAGCAGCCGATTCATTTTGAAGTACCGTAATCAAACGAGAGCGCAGGTTAATTCAATCTAAAAACAAAGCTAACTTTCTTTTACACCGCCACCCGCCGCAACGACCATAATCAAAACCCACCAACCACAACGATTTAACTACAACTTCCAACTTGAACAAATCATTTTAAAAAAATCAACCGTCACAACACCCACAGATATAACTGCAAAACAGTTACACAGCCACATTTTCTCTACAAAAACGAATCCAACTACCGCAATATAGAGGAACATTAAACCCGCAACTAAAACTTATAATTCCATAGTAATAATCCGGCCACGTGATTCAGCGGGAACACCCAAGCGGTTCGCTGTCGGAATGGGTTCCAATCCTGGCTCGGGGTTGATTCAGCCCATCATTCCTCCGGGGCTGATAAAATTAGTACTCACTTGAGGGTAAGTCTCCAAAATGCTGGTCCTCATTAATCGACTCACCCATGCCATAGGAATGTAATTTTAACCACCGACTTGGGACTGTAAATAGATGAACCTCTACCTCTACATTTAAGTCAGAAATAGCTTTGACTATCACTAAAACTGCACTACGACCACTATATCATCATGATTTCCACTAGCAACTCCAGCCACCAAGCACAGAACCATCAAATCAAATAAACATCACAATTCCCAACACCACCGATATATTGGAAGCTGAGCAGAGGTTGAAATCTCGATGAGTGCCCACCATGCACACCAGGATATCAAAAGGCAGAGTGCAGTGCAGCAAATGGCAGGTATTGTACTGTGCTTCCATGCTCCCCAATTTCACCAACCTCCACCGAGCAACGTTAAGTACTGTCAATAAAACCCACGCTTCTTTAACGACGAAAATAGCCTCCTCAGCCCCCATCATCCAGCAGTGGATTGACAAAACGCTGTACATACGTTGACAGGACGGCTGAAAGGGTTAGGAGACTTAAACCGCTTCATTGTCGACTATTGTAAAGACGCACAGAGGCAACATTGGCCTCGGTCGCCGATTAATTTGATCCGAATACTGTATAAGGGGAGCCAAACGAATTTAATGTCTATGCCTCTTGGAAAATCTGAGCCTATTGTTGGCGAGCGCGCCGCCCCCACCCGTCCAAAGGCGTACCCACCAACCCCAGCCACCGAGGCTCAGCTGCGCTCAATTAAATCAATTCCCCTCGGCGCGATCTGCTGAATTCTCGATGTGTAAGGCGTGGCAAGTGGGCACGACTTGCACAACAGGCCGACCCGACCACGCCACCCACCCCCACACTATCAAATGAGAAGCAACAACCACACCCAACAACACCGTTCCACAACCGGACTCATCACAACCACACCACCCCTCACCAGCAACCCCCAACAAAGCAATACCAAAATCCTGACACCACGACCCCCCCCAACAAACCCAACAGCCCAAGTACGGGAAACAATACTTCAATGCAAACGCACAACCATATCCTACAAACACCACACCCCAACCACACAACACAAGCAGCACAATCGAAACCGCAACAAAGCAGCACAACCTCACCCCAACCGACGTCACACTTAGCCACCAACAAAAGCATGGGGTTTCTCTCGCTGCGGGACCGATTATCAAGGAGCCAAAGAGAGCCAACTTGACATTTACAGCGTGTGCCATCACGTCCACCTTCACCTACCATCCCCCCCCCCTACCCGGTACCAGCACGTTACCATGCACCACAGTAAAGTACTAACCGCCCCCCCCCAACCCCACTGCCTCCCAAGTCACGTATACCACCAATCACATCAATGACGCGTACTACAAAACGCGCCACCCACGTCACGGCAACAACGCAATGCACAATGCATACATTACGGTAACAATGGCGTAGTACACGCAACCACCCACCTTAATTCACACAATACACGCCACCCCATCCACACAACAACCCATGTACTAACACACACATCTCCCCCCATCCCCACCACACAACCCATAAATCCTACAAAGCAAACATCACACACACACCGGAACACAACGCCAAATACAAATTGACACACAACCTACACACCCCTTTAAATTTGTGTTTGTTTATATTATTATTTAATTATATCCCTTCTACGTGACTTTACCCAAAGAACCAAGAACACTACACACCCCTTTTCACACGAACCACGATCTATACTCTCGAACGAGAAAACCAGACACAATGTCAGCATTACACACCATACATACCGCAAATAGGAGAAACACCAACCACATTAAAACTCCAAACCCCCCCCCCCCCAACAGGCACAAAATTATACTGCCCCCCAATTGTACAGGCGCGCGCGCACACCACTGTGAATGACACACACACACATGGCTGTACACGCGTTAACTAACACACGCCGTGTGACCGTGTACCATACGTGCTGCGTATACCAACTAGGGGCGCTGAGGAAGCGTTCGTGTAGGAAGGGCGGCCCCGCAGCAACCGCACACAGCCCCCTCTTCGCGCGTGAAAAATTGCTACACAAGCACGCACAGGGCTTCTTATCGTGGCCAGATTTTAAATGAACGTCAATTGTTAACGTACCTCGATGCTGCTTGTGGGTGGAGCCGTTTGACACGGTGGGTTCGTGCGGCGAGTTCTGAACCCTGGCAAGACGACGGATGAGTAGTGTAGATTCCCACCACCCCCCACCCCCCCCGGCTAACATCAGTGGCCGAGTGATATTCAGGGGCAGTGCGCTGCTGAGCGTGGTCCGCCCACCACCCCCATTGCATGGCCAGACACACGGGGCTAATGTCTGCGGACCGAGTGATAATTCGCATCGATCCTCCACCTATATTCGCCTACCCCACCTCTTGACCAGCGTGGTGAAGTATAATCAAACAACGTCGCGTGACCACAACCGGTGTGTGGGGGAGGGGAGGAGGCCTTCATCCAGCAGTGGATTGACAAAAGGCCGACCACTCCAGTACACGTTCAGCGAGTCATATTAACCTAAAGCACTGGCATTTATTTGTGTTGGTCTCTGCTAAAGAAAACCCCTGATAATGTTGGAGGGGGAAGATGGTCTTAACTAGAGCAGCAAATAGAAGCCATTCTCTCGCCCCAGGGCAGGTTATTTACCAGCCACGCAATCTATTAGAGTGTTCTTATATATCGTGCACGGCTGGCAATATCACGCCATTCTCTATTCTCTGCTTAGTGAAATTATTGAGAATCTCTCGGACTGCCACGTGGACTGACATGGCGGGCGGGCGGGGGCCCGATCAAGACAGTCTGTAATTATCCAAGACGTACAAGGGTGTATTTAATATGAATGAGAATGGAAATGTCTTTTGTCCATTCCCTGCTAGATTTAAGGCCCTCTCCGACACACGTCGATGGGTGTTTGACCATACTTCACCACGCTGGTCCATACAAGATCGCCGCTTCGTATTTTACACAAAAGTCGCTAACCTATACTAGCAATATTGCATATCACAATACAGTACATAATGCACCAAAATACTGTATAAGCATCACAGTATACAGTTATTGCGTATATCACTTGCATATTGAAATGGCATGCATAATTCAACCGTACTGTATACACATTGTGGATCGTCTATGTATTCTGTAATGTAGTTCGTTTATAATGCATTTTTTAAGAGATATCACGGTTATTTTGTAACAATGGATATTACGTTTAGAGAGCTACAAATAGGCGTTGAAACAAAAGACGATTCGATTTTTTTAAAATCTAAAAGTAGATTAATGAAAAAAACAATACGTATTCATTACATTTTACTATTTCCAACAATTTAAGGGAACCCGTCGGCAAGTAAAATAATAATTCACATTTCTAAGACGCATTTCATCTGGAGATCCCAATAAATTAATGTAAAATATAGCTGCATGTAAAAAATAATCAAGGAAACGGTTAAATGTCAACATTTCAAACAAGTTTTATGGAATATACTTACAAATATTACATTATTTTTTTTTAATATAACTCCCAATAGCCAAGGAAACAAAAGCACATCGCCAATAAACCTGTAAAAGGCATTATTTTTAATAGAATATCTATATTTTGTACATATTTAAATAGTTTACACGATTTGTGCTATATTTTTATCCTTCATACTTTTGCTGGCTAAATACCAAAAAACACTTACTGTACGAATTGTTAATTTTTTAATGCGAAATCGCCTTGGCACCGCCTACTTACTTGGAATTGTCTGACGTTGAGAAATGTCAAAGATTTTCTCTCAAATGTACGTTTATGACCAGAACACAACTAAAATAAACCAAAAAAAAATAAAGATTGTATTCAAATTACAATACGGGGCGGGGGGGGGTCATAAAAAACCCGCGAAATTATTTTTTTCGTGTAGGGATATAAATTAACACGAAAATGTATCAAACAAAAGAAAAAAAAGCCGAGAAAAATTGCGGTGGACGAACAATAAAAAAAAGAATTGTGTTGGTATCGTCTCACGATCACAAATAAGTAAACAATATAAATTTAATAAATGAAAACTAAGGGGAAACGGAATCAATCACGGGCGACTGCGCGCGCACGCGAGGGACGGGCGCGCGCTGTGCGCGGGCTTATGTAGTCGCGGCGGAGCACAATTAGCCACTTCACCGCCATTCTCCCGCTCACGCGCCCCCGCCCGCCAACATTCGCGCACGAGGACACAGCCACCTTCCGCGGTTAAAATAAAGGTCCATAAAAAAAGTAGTTCCCCCGCCCCGACCACCACCACCACCCACTTACAGTGTTAGTTTATACACTGAGTGCCCTTGCACTCTTTTAACATGAATTAATCATTAGAATCGACCTTGGTCGAGCTACTGCTGGATGAATGCCTCCTCACAGCCACCGGGCAAACCATCTCTCACGATCCTGCGACGCAATAATCCGACCCCCCAACGCCTTGCACGGGCGCTGATTTCAATTTTCCCCCATCTCGTAATTTTTTTCGTCCTCTCGAACGAGTTGCTTCGCCTTTTGGCTGCCGTTCGTTGTCCTTGGCCACCGACTGACTACTGTAGGGCCCCTTTCTGTCCTACGGCCCGAGTCCACTTTTACCGATCACAGCTGATATAATCCCAGCGGCATGTGTTTAACAAGCCCGACTTCTCGCTCATGTTCGTGAGAACCAATAGGTGGAAATGAAAGAAAATCGTGGATTACAATTTATGGTCGATCAATGGATTTTATGAGATCGGAATCAAAATATTTTGAGCTATAAAGCTCTTTTTCACAGATGTCCAGCAGTAGATAATCGCCCCAGATCTAGATATAACAAGTATAATTTCCAATCGCATTTCAATATTATTTTTACAAAACATATACGACACACGGCTTCTGGAACACTTCCAAATATTGTATTTTTGTGCTCCGAAGTACAGTACACTTTAACGAATACGTACTATAAAGACACGCCTCGGATACTTTCAAGGTTTTAAAAACAATGGGTATTTCAAGAGCCTAAATGTAACTAAATGCAATCGCATCTCAATACGTAATAAATAAAGAGCGGGTTGTGTTGGGTTTAAAAAAAAAGCTTTACTTGATAATGAAATGTAACGTAGCAAATGTGGCTAAAGAAGGACGTTTCAACAACCGGTGCTACTAAACCTTCCGAGTTAGTAGGAGTGCTCTTGGCCCCACCGTTACAAAAAGCATCACAAAAATAAGAATAAACTTTAACAAAATGAGAGAGAGAGAAAGTGCACAGAGAAGCTGATGAATGCTTGGTGCTTTCACTGAGATGTACGGAAACACGTGGATTTGTGGAACATTCGCGTGGCTAATGACACACAATTCCAACTGTGAACAAGCGTGGGGTTTCGATTTAAAGCTTTCGTGACTGCAAGGATTAATCTTCTTTGGTTCTTTCGGTAAAGTCACCACGTAGAATGAGAATAAAATAATACATTAATAAAAATAAAATAACACACCTGAAGAAGGCCACTTGCGTTGTGGCCGAAACGTCGTGAGAATTTTATTGTTATTATATTTTATTAATTCATTATTTTATTCTCATTCTACGTGGTGACTTTACCGAAAGAACCAAAGAAGAGGCGTGGGGCTATGGGGCACAGGACACAAGGTGGTAAGAGGGTGGTGGAGTGGCAGAGTGGGTGGATGGGTGGGTGACTCCGAGGTGGACTATTTGACATCGCGAAACTGTGTACAAAGGTTAGAGGGAGGCCTTCATCCAGTGGCGGATTGACAATGTGAGTAAAAACAATGTTACTGTGCGATGTGTGTGCGTTGAACTTCTTTCGCACCGTGCGACGGGGGGGGGGGTTAAAGATAACAAATTCAACAATCAAATGGGACCCGT